CATACATGTACATGTTTATAACTTAAAGATCATGAAATTTATTATTCAAACTAAGTTTTAGTAAATCTTTACATTAATATGGATTTTCTCATGAACCAGCTGTCAGTTATATTAAATGGAAATTGCCAACTTCCACAATAATTAACAATAATTACATTGTTATCTTACTTCCCTAACCTACATTACTGGTTGCCTTTGTTAGAAAACCTTGGAACAGTCAAGCTCAGTTGCCTCAAACGCTGTCAGAGACTTTTTGTTGACAATACTTTTAGTACAAATTTCATGCCTTAGACAAACAAATTCAACACCTAATTAATCTTTCTTTTTTCACGATTGTTGTTGCTGCTTTTTTTAAAATATTTTTGCTCTATTTTCATGACTAATTGCTGTAATTTATTTTGCTGTTTTTATTCTTACAAAACATTTTTGTAAGAGTTCCAATACTTGTGGATCATCCACACACTTTGCAAACATTTGGCATGCAGACAAGACAGAGGTAGTCAATGTTCCCTTTGAGAAAAAACACCTTTTATATGACGTCTTCAATTTACTTTATTTGAAACTCTGATCTGAAAATATTTGTCAACAAGACTTGTTAGTAGTGAGAAGTACCAACCAAGTTTCCTTTCATAATTTAATTTCTTAAATGTCCCAATCACTGGATCTCCCAAAAAATATTACATCTTTTTATTTTTGGTGCAAATTACAAGTCCTTCTTTATATAAAAATGAAAAGTGCTAGTCACAATTCAATAATAACTGCTCTTAAGTTTACTTGTTGTTCTTCTCTGTCTGTCAGCTAATAATAATAATAATAATAATAATAAAATCTTTATTACTGTGTCAATGTATTAGCTCATAGAGCTAATTGGGGACACCTACTATTAAAAAATTAATAAAAAAAATTATGTACAGTATCATAATAAGTAACAATATAGCCGATAAACAATGCATTAAAATTTAAAAATATTTAGAAATATTAACAATGTTCAGATAACATAAAAATACTTGTACAATGCAGATAATTAGAAAAATCACGTGCTGCAAAGATTGCAGCAGTTGCCACTGTCTTCCACTAGGCTGGCCAGGTCAACTCTATGGATTTCAGTTTTAAAAATGCTAAGGCTTGGTAGTTCACGCATACCATTTTCTAATTTGGACCAGATATATGGTCCTTGATACCTTAGTGTGTGTTTACCATAGCGTATAGTATTAAATCGTGGTATTTCAAAGTCACTATTCCTAAGGTTATAACGAGTACCCTTTCGAGTAAATATCTCAGATATGTAGCTAGGTACTAGATCGTTCTTTACTTTATACATTAGTATTGCTATGTCCTGTAAGCGTCTATTATGAAGCGTAGGTAACTTAGCACGCTTAAGAAGTTCATCATATGTCTCTGTTGTTGTAGCATTATAGCTGTTTTATACAGTATGAGCTTAGCTTGGCATGATATTAGGTTGCACAAGTGCATGAGGACTCCTACTTTCTGGCTGGCTTTAGTGCATATTTCGCTAATGTGTTGTGTAAAGTTAAGGTTCTTGTCTATATTTACTCCTAATAGCTTGATTTGTTCAGTTTTCATGATCTCGTCATTGGCGATGGTGAGAACGCTGCCCTTCTTATCTGCATCTATGTTTCTTGGGTTAATCGTAAGAGACTGAAACTTATCTGGATTTGCCAAGAGGAAGTTGTCCCTATACCATAACAGTGCTTGTTGACCCTGAGTCACTAGAGTAGATTCAACTTCTTCATAGGTTTTTCCTGTCACATATAATTGGTGGTCATCAGCATAGAGCGTAAGGTTTGAGTCAGGGATATGAAATGCCATATCATTTTGGAACATGTTCCAGAGGAGAGGGCCAAATGACGATCCCTGAGGACAACCACGTTCCATAATTCTCCATTCACTTTGTGGCCATTTATTTTTACTCTGTTTAGCCTGCTATCAAAAATGATCTAATCAGTTCAAGTGAACTGCTATTAAAACCGTAGGCATCCAGCTTTTTTAGAGTGGGTGAATAGCTTAACGAGTCAAATGCTTTACTCATGTCAGCAGATAATATTGTTACCAGCTCTTTTCTGTCCACTGCAGACCTCCAGTCTTCAATCAACATCAGCAGGGTTGTCTCACAGCTGTGTTGTTTTCTATAAGCTGTCATCCTGTGGTACAGAGCAGGGTCATAATGTCTGGTCACTTGTTTACTGAGTAAGTGTTCAAAAATCTTGTCCACACATATAAGTGAAGTGATTGGACAATAGTTCAATTTGTCTTGTCTGTCTCCCTTTTTAAATACAGGGGTCCATTCGCCTTTGGTCCATTCGCCTTTCTTCCATTCAGATGGCCACTCACCTAAGTCAATACAGTTATTGTAAAGTCTAGTCAGGGATGGTGCAATTCCTTCAGCCACTCCCTTAAAGAGTTTTGGTGGTGTCGGTGCTGTCACATCCCACCCATACGACTTTCTTACATTGAGATTTTTAAGAGTACACTGCACTTCCTCTTTGTTAAATTCTTTGAAATCAAATTTATTCCCCTTGTAACCGCTTTCAATAGCCTTGACACTACTGTGGTTCCTATGATCATTCTCGGTTAGGCTGGTGAATGGTAAAATGGCCTGCTAGGAGTTCAGCCACCACAGTTTGGTCTTTCTCGACCTCGCCATCTTCAGATTTCAAACATATAGCATTGGTGTCTTTTGTCTTTGTACTGGTGAATGGCCTGAATGTGATAAAAAACTCGCTGGGCTTAGATTTCAGCTCTTCCGATTTCCTATACCAGTAGGCCTTTATTGCCTTTCTACGTTCCCGTGTTGCAATGTTCCTGTATAATAAAGCTATCAACAAAATTGTTTTATACTTCGGGCAGTGCATAACTATTTGTGGACCAGAGTTCCAACGCACCTCTGTAATCGCATATAGCTACTTCTGTCTCTTGTACAAATGTTTCTCCTTTGTAAGACGCACTCTACTCTGCTGTCAATACTGCTCTAAGTTCAGTGGAAACGACTGACTGAAGAATCGAGATGGCGGTGTTGGAACGTGTTGCTGAACGCTTGCTACGGTCAAGCTTTGTAGATTTAGGTACTGGTACACTGGGATCATCTATGTATCTCTTATACTTCCGAATGTGGTATACTTCCTTTATAAATATGAGGGTAAAAGACGATTTGTAGTCGCATTCAAAACTGTTATTGGCTTGTGTTATTTCTCACCTTTGCCATTAACACAACTCAAGTGAGTTTCGAGTCTTTTGTTTCCTCGACAACTTTTGGCCACAAATCGTGCATTTGTAATACGATCGATTCTTGTCGATTATTTCCACATAGAGTGAGCTCACATCTTTATTTATATCACCAAGCTATCCATCTTCTAGAAGCAGAGAACCGGTCGGAGAAGTCAGAATGAAGTTGGGCGCTTCTCTTAACACTGCAATCGGCAAGCCAGCGGATTCACTTTGCTAGCCAATGACAAGTCCTAAAAGATCCACGTGATCATGCCCGTGATCGGAAACAAAGAAGACTCCATTTGGCGCTTATCTTTGAATGTACTTTTCATCGGTTGATCGCTTTTCTCAACTGTTTTGCTTAATATAACATTTCTAAAGATAGCTTTTATTGTGGTTCAATGGGAAAACGAGAAGAGCGTGAGTGTTGTAAAAGAAAAGAAAGTCGTTGGCGCCGTGGAGTTAAAAGAAGGGACAACAGTTGACATACTGACTGGTGCAAACAAGGGTCGAGTGGCCATCTGTAAAGCTACGATTTTGAAAGTTTGTGGTGAGTAAAAATTGCGATATTCGTTACGTGATCAAAATCTTATAAAATAATAGATGTAGCGGGTTGAATTAAGCTTACATAACGCTCGGCGCAACTGAAACTAGAATTATTCTGAGAATCGAATCGGTCACTTGCATGCCGCAGTTTCTTAAGCTTATGCTTTACAATGAAATAAACCTGTCAGTAAGGTTTCAAGATTCCTCTAGTCACGTTTGGGAACATTCAAGATTCATAATAGGAACTGTTATCAAACAAACCTTAGTACATAAAGAAGCCCTCCTTGGTAAAAACAAAATAATGTATTCAGCCCTTTTTTAGTAAAATCCATGAGAGAGATGTACTAACTCCAATATAAAAGTCACTCAATATAACAGAGATTTCTCAATTTGAGAATCCAATGAATTCCCTTTTCCTCATAGCCATCTTAAAAGCCTGGTCTGAGCCTTAAATAGACATATTTTAATATTTTTTTTTTTCAAATTCAGATGTCAAGGAATCCAGATACAAAATGGTCAAGGTTCTTGTAGACAACCTCATTCAAGGCCAACTCATGGTGAGCCCAGGAAAAAAAATACAAAGAGTACAAACAGCAGCTAGGTTTGCAGTTTAGGATAACTTCATTCTAATTTATTGTTACAGTTACAACAAGATTTTAATCAAAAAATCAATTTTATTTGTCTGTAATTAGCCCCTTCACTCCCAAGAGTGCTTGGTTTTCAAATATAACTTAAGATATTGTATTTTATGGAAAAGAATCAACAGATTTTATTCAAAATTTGTGTCAAACCAAATTTAATGATTGATTAGAACTATTTTATATGAATAGCTGTAATTGAGGATTAATCCATATGAAGTTTTCAAGAAAAGAAAAATAAATCAAATTCCATCCTAATATTACCACACATTGATGTTAATAATTAATCAAAAACATTTTACATGTAAGCCCTAATTAAGCTTCTAAATAAATTTCATTGAATACTTGAATTTTAGCTGGGTTTTTTTTAATTTAAAGTATTTATTTTATATCAGTAGCAGGGATTAGGAAGGCCGTGCGCCATGCGCGTATGGCGCATAAAGCTACGAAATGGCCCATTATAAAAATACTTACCGGGCCTGTGATGCGCCCTGACCGCACAAAGCTAGTGAAATATAAACTATTTTGTGAAAAGGATTTTAATTTGTAAAAGTTTCACTTTGGTGAGACATAAACAAGCGAAAAACTACGGTGCCTTCGCTCGTTTGATCACGCTCGCTTCATTCTTGTTCCCAGATCCTGAACTCGGACTTTGCATGCAAACGAGGCTATTGCTCGGAGTTCCATGTGCTTTCGTTTTCGAGCAGAGTTCGAGCGTTTTCGTCGCTTTGAATGTATTTGCATCGATTAGCCTCATGCCTCCGAAAAAAATCTTGAGATTGGACAGCTCGCAGAGAACGTTGTCTACATTTTTCAACACAACAGCGGAGCAGAATCGTGATACTGTGAGCGAAAACGACCGTGAAACGGACGAAACAGATATAGGTATAGACTGTAATACACAAGCAATAAACCTTTGTTAAAATTTTTACTGGCCCATTTATTTACCCTAATGGCCCAAACGCTTTATAAATGGCCCATAACTTTCCAATGATAGGGGCCATAGGCTCATTTGCCTGTTAAACCTTCCTAATCCCTGCAGTAGCCTCAAATTTTTGCTTAAAATTCCCAGTAATTCTTAAACATTCCTAAACATTCCTAAACATTCCTAAACATTCCTAAACATTCCTAAACATTCCTAAACATTCCTAAACATTCCTAAAAATTCCCAAAAATTCCCAGAAATTCCTAGGAATTTTTTTTAGATTTACAGCTTTTCAGGGAAAGTCATTGGTTCTCTGAGTTGGAATTCCTAGGAATTCCTAGGAATTCCAAGTCCTGTTGGCTATAAACTTGGAATTTCTGGGAATTTCTAGGAATTTCTAGGTTTTTAGAACCAGAGTTGTTATGGTTGGGAATTCCTAGGAATTCCCAGTCCGAATTTACCGTGAAAATTCACACCTTTATTCCTAGGAATTCCAAAAACCATTTCGCAAGGGATGTTTGAGGGTTTGCTAACCTCAAATGTGAAAGTTTTTCACTGTTTTATGCTTTATATGTCCTTCATAGCTACCAGTTTTCCTCAGAACAGCTAAAGTCCACAAACAAACATCTGTGAATATTTTCTTGACAAATGGAGGTTATTTAATGATCATAAAATGCCTAAATAAAGCCCCAAAAGTTCTTTGTTTCAAAGAAAAGGAAAAGAAAAGGATGGTGCAAGCACACCAAAACAAGGTAATATGTCAGCTGAAAGATGAAGGGAAGTAGATTTGGAAGATTTGAACAGATCTGTGCATAATAATGATAATGACAGTAGTAACTAATTTTCCCATACTTCATCATTAGAAGGTACAGCTGTGTGAAGTGGTTCATCCCCTGTGTTCATCATTGTAGTGGACACTGGTTGTGATGTATTTATTGCCTTCATGCTGTTAAGATTTTCCGAGACTTGCATAAAATCAGCAACATTTCAAGTGAGAAAAATAACAGTGATTCAGATAACAGATAAAAGGAATACATTTTTTTAAAGAGTAACATAATTTATGATGATTACATCTATTTAAGTAAGTTTTTACAATTAACCTTTGGAATTATGTAAATTGTAGACACTCATTTTCCTGTAGTCTACACTATTTGAGATTCTGCTCTTGATCACTAGAATGAACATCTCAATACTTACAGTACATATATTTATCGATACATGGTGGTATTGTTACTGGATGAAGTAGATGTTGTGGAGCCTCCTGTCCCTTAACAGTTTGCTGATCAACTACACTTGAGTCACTGATACCGTTCATCTGAGGATTTCCAAGTGTTGAATGAGGCATCACATATGATCTTATTGTTTTTATGCCTGGAACCTTATGAAAGAATTATGAAAAGTTATACATTCATTCATTATGAAGAATTAAATTCCACTACAACCTGCCTCACTATTATTGACTGAGTTACATCTGGGCCCATCTCAAGAAACCGAGTTTATTGAACTTGACTTCCAGACTAAATGTTATGAGCATATTTTCAAGGGCTAAGCAATTATTAATTAGAGAGCAATTTGCTACATATTAGAGGCTTTGCTAACCTCAATGTGAAAGTTTTTTCACTGTTCTATGCATAATATCTGTCCTTTATAGCTACCAGATTTCCTTGGAACAGCTTAACATCCAAACAAACATCTGTGAATCTTTTCTTGCCAAATGGAGGTTATTTAATTATCATAAAATGCGTAATGCTCTGAAAGTTCTTCCTTTCAAAAAAATTATTTAAAAAACTATCTAGAAGATGAATAGGATGGTAGAAGTGCACCAAAACAAGGCAAGATGTCAGCCGAAAGACAAAGGGAAGTAGATTTGGAAGATTTGAACAGATCTGTGCATAATAATGATAATGACAGTAGTAACTAATCTTCCCATACTTCATCATTAGAAGGCACAGCTGTGTGAAGTGGTTCATCCTCTGTGTTCATCATTGTAGTGGACACTGGTTGTGAGGTATTCATTGCCTCCATGCCATAAAGATTATTCAGTTCTTGCATTTAATCAGCTACATTTCAAGTGAGAAAAATGACAGTGAATATTTTCTTGCCAAATGGAGGTTATTTAATTAGAACAAAATGCATAATGCTCCGAAAGTTCTTTCTTTCGAAATAATTCTATAAAAAAAAAACTATCTAAAAGATGAATAGGATGGTACAATCAATTTCCCATTTAAGCTAGCTAGGTTCCACATGTTTTCTTTTTGTGTTTAATGTCTTTAAAGGATGTAATAGACCCATTAAGCTTGCATGTTTTGTTTACTTATTTCAGGTCTCAAAGCAATTCCCCTTTACACAAGCAAGTGAATAAGAGGAAATTTGAAAGAAACAACTCTCTAGAGTATTATCACACTGCTATGAAATGGGTAAACAAAACCTACAAGGTAAAGAGGTCTGCTGTTTTAAAAATCATTAAACTCCTTTTCCTCAGAAGTCAAATGCAACGAGAGACCAAGACAGAATTTCTCCTTACAATACCAGAACAATATCTAGCAGGCAAGTGATGAGAATAAAGAAAAATTTCAATTAGGGGATTTTGCAGTACCAAATTCTCAGAACCAACTCCATAAGAATTGTATGGCAGACAGTAAGAAGGGCAACTAAGGAAATCTTGGGAGAAAAAGGGTTTATATTCTGTGAGACCACACATGACATCATGATCACTTAGGCTAATCCTCTAGTCATGTAATTGTAGGAGTCTCCTAGGTGGTCTCTTCATTTGCAATTGTCTCAGACAACAGTAACTCAAGGACTACAGCTCTCTACCTTCTTATGCCATCATGAGAACAGATTTCTAAACTTGAGTATTTCATGAAGTACAAGAGCACTTCCTGGCTAACTAGTGAGTGAATGAAAGAGTTTGAAAATGGAATCTATATTAATCTACACCACATACAAATTTTGCATTTGAATTTTTCACGTTTCAATGAAAGCCAACAACTGAGAATTCAAAACGACTTGTAGAAGTACAGTTTTGTGGTGCAAGCTTATGTTAAATATCTGAGGGCATAAAAACAGCTGCATTCAAGTTCAGTTTATTCATTGTTCAGCAAATAGTTGCACATTCGCGTACACTCTGTATGCTATCTGAATCTCTTGGGAAGTTAGCCCGCCTAAGTCAGTGTGAAATTTCGCCCACAGACCTTGGTTGTTCAAAAGCCAATTAAATTATCCCTTGATTAGAGGTTAATTGACAATCAAATTTCTTATCCCAAGGATAGCTAATCTAGGTTTAAAATAACGTTCCTGAAAGCAGATTTATCCCTTGATTAACTATTCCATGATTAAGCTGAGATTAAACCAGTCAAACCAGTTATTAAGAGCTACGCACATGCTCCAATGATGATAGACACTTTTTCTGGCTTCATTCTGATCTCAGAATGAAGTAGATGGAACCTTTGCTTCCACCAGCCAAAGGCTTGTTCTATTGCCACTCTTGTTCTTATGTGGGCACTGTTGAACTCTTACTGCTTGTCAGTGACTGGATTCAAGTAAAGGGTCATCAGGTATGGTTTTCAAGGGTAATCACTATCACCCAACTGTAAACCATCTTCCAGGGACTGGTGTTGGATATACAATAATTGTGTCTATGATGAACTGGGGTACCTAATACCAATATTTAGTTTACTTGGAAAACCTTTTCATTATTTGTTTAATTTGTGTTTTGAAAATTGGGAGACTGCATTATTTTGAAATCCCTGCTGATTGTTGCACTCTGTTGGCAATATATTCCAAATATCCCACATTTTTTTCTTGTTTTTCCCCCTTGTTTTTTACTTTTTTATACCGTTGTTAAAAATATTGGTGTAATAATTTTGGTTAATTTCCCATGTGTGTTTGCAAACCAAACTCATCCTATACCATTTGAACCCAATGATTTTCATTTATTTTTGTTTTCAAAATATTGACTCAGATCTTCTCCTTTTTTATACCCTTAATTCCTACTCAAAAAATATTTTTATCACCACTCCCATATCCTGAATATGTGAAACTGCAATCTAGTAACTCCCAACAATGCAATCCCATAGCAGCTGGTTTGCTTGAAATCTCAATCTAAAACCTTCTATTATGGGAGTACCTCTCCCTGACAAAGGTTATTTTGCAATTTTTATAGAGCACTAATTGTGATATTTGAGTATTTTACCTACCTTTCTGATTGCAAATTGCCTGCACATTTATGGAATGGAACCCTTTACGATTGACAGAATCGTTTTCTTTTTCATGTGGTGCCTGAAAATTAATGCACTAGTCAGTGGAAAGCCCCGCACCCCCATACCTGGGGAATAGCGGGGCATTAGACCAGGCGTCCCAACTAATTGAAGCAAATTCCCCGCTATGCGGGGCAATTTCTTATGTCAAAACCTCATTTTTGTACTCCGCCCCCGGGGCAATACTTGAAAAATCCCAAATACACAACGTTGACCAAAATTAATTTATTTCAAGAATTGTGCCTCAAATTTAAATCTTACAAAAACTTTTTCAATGTCTTCATAAAATAGATGAAACAATCATGGCTCAACGCTCTAAATAAATCGCTAATCAAGCATGACTAGGGCATAAACAATACCCAACGTTTTCTAATTTCACTACAAGACATGAGATTGAACACAGAATTTAATCGATGGCCCATTACAAGCATGAAAAGAATGGATTTTAAATCGTACATACCTTCGCCATTTTGAGATCATACGCTTTCCCAGTGTTCTTTGCAGGCCTATTCAAAAGCGAAATCCCCGCCAAAGCCCAGCTAGCCCCGCTAACGGTCCCCGGTCGCTGTTATTTGTGTCTAATGTTGTCGAACACCCCGCACACTGGGGCAAAGATGACCACTAAAAACCGCTAAAATCCCCCGCTAATGACCCGCATTCCCCGGGTATGGGGGTGCGGGGCTTTCCACTGACTAGTGCATAAGCCCAATCCGGCAAGTAATAAGTCGGCCATTGTGTTTTGCTTAGGGATAACTTTTACTTTAATCTTGGGATAGTGCTAATCGCGCTTTCGAACAACCGGGGCCAGGAGTTTACGCAGTGTTAGTCTGGCGAAAAACCTCAAGATTACATTTCAGGAACCTTCCCTTCGTACAAACATGTACATAGAAAAAGTCTCTGGTTGCTAAACGTTAACCCGCACGCTGAAATCTATGACCGCACTAGTAAAACGAAAGAAATCAAGAGAAACAAGTTTAAGGAAATAGTGCAAATAGTTTCTTAATGTTAGCCCAACATAAAGGCAGGAAAGTTGATTAAACATCATGAAAAACAACACAAACCTGGCAGAGCGAAAACATTCAAACCCGGAGTAAAGAATACCATTGCTGTGAAGTCGTATACCGGATGAGTAAAGCTGACAGCGGCTTTAAAGCGCTAGTAAAAAGAAAAATGTCACGTGACAGTTATTTCATGACGTATGTCCGGACGAAGAACGTCACGTGACAGTTGCGAAGTTTTAAAAAACCAAACTATGTCAAATTCACCTTTTGGGCTTTAGATTTCACGTGTAGTATCACGTGATTTTTTATGTAAACAAACCCCGAAAGTTCGAACATTGAGTCGAGCTCGCAGCACAAGTATCCAAACTTCGGCTTTGGAAATTTTTCTTAAATAACGCCCCACTTTCAAGAAGCGTCTCTTCGCTCAAAATTGACATCTTTCTTTTGTCATTTATTTGATCGTTTATTAAGCAAGTTGTCATTTCGCGGCCGTTGAAGCAGATGCGAAGAATGTTACAGGAAGCGTTGCGGCACGGTAGTTAGATAACGGCGTAATATGTGACCAACACAGTCTATAGACTGTAAGATTTTACGCCACTATGTGCGTCGATGTATATATATATGTAAGATTTTAAGCCGTTAACTAACGGCGTAAAATCTGCATACAGTGATGTATCTAATAAGGTATTTTCAGGGTGTTTAGTGCGTTGATTGTCAGATAAATCCCCGTCCGGCAGGAAATTCCTAACATTCCTAGAACTTTCGGGGTTTGTTTACATCAAAAATCACGTGATACTACACGTGAAATCTGAATCCCAAAAGATGATCAAAATACATATAAGTAAAACACACATACAAACACTCACTATGAATCTATTTTTAGGCCTCCAGAACAGCATATGCACGTGAGTTAAGGAAAATTTCAGACATGCGCAGAATAGGCCCTTTCCTGTGTTTACTTCTCTTCTTAACGCCCTTAAAACTTTATCGTTGAATATCTTGTCAAAACACGAAGTCTATGGTAGTTTTAACACAAAAACCAGGAAGACTGCGACGAAATTGAAGATTCTACCGTTTTATTTTTTTCCTTTTCATCGACTAAGTGGTAGAAATTCTAATTTTTCGTACCGTTTTGTCGTTCATTGCGCGTGGTGTTTATTATTTGGAATTTCGAAACGGACAAGTTTAGGAGTGGGCATCGTGTTTTCAAGGCAAACTGAGTTTTGGAGTCCATTGTTGTTCGTTTGAGAGTTATTTTCATTTTTTTGACGCGCGCTCAAGATGCCATGGAGGAATGAAATGTATCGACTGATGTAATGTACTCAGAGCAGCTCGGAAGTACAGCAAGCGCACAATGCATGAGGTAAGAATATAAATTAAGTTATCTTGACCCCTTTCTTGGCGTGTGTTGGTGATAAAGGGTCAATAAGCCTACTTTCAATATCGCCCATTCGAGATCGAGAGTGAACTCCGGTTTAATCGTCAACAGGAACCAAGAGCAATTTATCAATCACTTCTCGGGTACTCATTGGTACTGGTATCGATTGTCAAATTAATGCTCATTTCTTTTGGGCGCTTTGAATGTGGAGGATTGACCAATACACTGATTCTTTTTTGACCACACTGCATATTTAATAATTAGTATAGGTCCAGGTAAAGTGCTGGTCGTCACAAGTTGCCTGTATATGTGAGAAAAATTCCATTGATGTAGATATATTTAATAGCAGAAAAAAACGTATGAAGGGGAGAGAGGATAAATTACGGGTCAGAATGGTATTACTTATCTTTTACACAGAATAAGGAAAGACAGGATAATAAACTTAGCACATTTTTAACAGATCCAGTGTTCCACTCTAATAATTATTACTGTTAATCAATTTACACTAACTATGTGTAACATATCATTAGCTGCATTACTTTGATTTGCCCTTCCTGTGCAAAATGTTATGCTTATTGTACAAGAACACTTATACATAAGTCATGTTCTTATCACATTAAAAGTTACATACTGCTAGTGATATGTTAAGTTATACATGTGCAACAGTATAATGATATAATCTACATGTAGTTAAATATTACATTTATGTTCTTAAACTGCTGAAATTAAGTGACAGCAATTCAGTGTTTGTTCAATATTCTACAAAGCTTCAGTCATACATTACAATTTAAAATCAGATACATTACAGCTTCATATACCTACTGTTCATTTTGAATGTAATATTCAATTCATTTAATTCAAGATCCAATACAACATGATTGTACATGCATGTCTCAACTTTGGCACTATGCACTTCACTTTTACCCTGTAAAACCAGTTGCAATATTGCAAAACGTCTGTGGTGCGCATTTGGGTACATTCTTTCATTCTTTCTTTGTGAACTTCACGTGCAGCTTCTGTGGTCCTGGTGTTGGTTTTTCCACTATGTAGAATGTTTTTAACAAATGTGATTAAGGCCTGTTTTGATAACTCTGACATGTTATCATTAAGATACAGTTGAGAAAGGTTGAACTGTCTTTCAGCGAGAACATTGTTAGCTGGAAGACTGAAAATGTGCTTGGCATAGAACTCAAACAGGTTTGGAGTGGCTTCTTTACTTATGAGTGAGCTCTTTGGTGATGAAGCAATTTCTTTGATCTCACTGAGCAATTGTGGTTCCATCAATTTCCAAAGAGTGGCCCATTTAATCAATCCAACTTAGACACCAATATGAGAATGTTCTGTCCATGTACATGACAGGGATTGTTCACTGACTTTTCTTGTTGATTTTCAGATCTGACTGGAATTTCAGGAAGCTTTAAAACTGAATGCCAGAAAAGACTTTGGTATCTCTGATCAGCTCCCATTCCAAACAACTTAGGAAAAGTTAACCACTCTGCTCCATGATCTTTGATTAGTTTAATTGCTTCTTGTAACATTGGCCTCTGCACTTGTTTGTGAAAATGGTTAATAGCTGCTGGGTCCTTCAATGACATCTTCACCTGTTGTGATGTTAAAGGAAAATATTCTGCAGGAGACATCAACATTTTACTTAAAGTTTCATGGTGCTTCAGAACAGTTGCTGGCCATAACCTTGCTAGGTAACCACTGGAGAATCCAAGTTCTGCATCACTAGCTTGGGATGTATTCAGAGATGGGATGATAAACTTATTGAGGAATTCAAACAAAAACTTGATTTCAACTTGAATCATAGGACTGGAGCTCAGCTTAATGACATCTTTCCAAATAGTCTGGTGGCTATCTGATTTTGGCAATCTTTCAAGGAGACACTCAGCGAGCTGTAAACAAGCTTTTCCATACTTAAGATACCACTGGAGAGTTTCATGATAATATGTCCACCTTGTGTCTATGAATGTCTGGGGAAGGGGTAGCTCTTTACTTAGAATACCAAGAGAAACATACATAACTTTGTATTGGCTTGGACACTCATGATGGAGCCATGATATTTTAAAGAGTAATTGTAAAACATGGGGGTTGCTCATGTCACCCTTGGCCCCAAACCCGGCCTGGCACATTCTTCTCAGCATAATGTTTAGTACATGTGGGTAGCATCCTACAAAAAACATCTCTTTTCCAAAAATTCTGGCATTGTTCGCTAAAAGACTGTTTACTTTTCCCTTTTGAGTAGAGGCATTGTCCCCAACCAACCCTGAAACATTGGTAATATCATATTCATTTTTTACAACATGGTTATATACATCAGACTGTTTTCCAGACCCACTTGCTGTTAGGCTGTTCACGAGGACATAAGCTCTTGGCTTGCTCTCTATGGGACACCAGGTGTGAACACCCACTATATGCCTCTCCTCTCCTCCTTTGTGGGAGTCATCACTCCAGAGATGAAAATCATACTTGGAATATGAAAAGTGCTTGCGTAAAATTAGTTTGTCGGCTTCACCTAAGAGAACATTTTAGTCAGAAAGTGTAGTTGGGGAGACAATGAAGTTTGTTGGGGGGCTACAATTGAACAAAATATTGAAAATCAGATGTAATGCTACAGGTGTCTTTTGATATGATAACAAAGATGCATGTTGCATGTATCTGAGACAAACCATAAACATCAAGGTTCTTTGGTTGCGTCCATTGTGACCATGAGCAAATGTCTCCACAAGGGAATACCCCTTTTTGGCAATTTCACTGTTGCCCTGTAATTTCTGTTTTAGCTTTGAGGAAGCAGATCTTGTCCTCCTTAGCTTGTGTCTGACTTGTTTTTCCTTTTTTTCAGTAGATGTCAGATTTTTTTGACACTTTTTAAGTTGAGTTTGAAGCCTCAACACGTCCTTTTTCAATTGGATGTTCCTTCCTTTTACAAATACTGAAATTATGAAAAGGTGAAACAATAAAAATTAGTTAAATGTAACTGATTTCGCATGATAGAGTATTGAAACAGAATACAAAGTATAAATGTCCTACCAGAAATCTTATCGACCAGGTATATTTAGAATGTGTAGTTTAAATTTGGCAAAAACATTGTTATCACAATTGCAAGGTTGAATAATTGAAACTATTGCGTTTCCACGAAGGTCCCTACGCAGATAATTTTGTTCATGTTGATAAAAACTTCTAACACAAACCTCAAAACTTCACTCGTAAAACTCTCGATACTGTGTGACACTTAAACGAGCGAAAAAATTAACTTGCCTGTACATTTCTTTTCTTAGGCACGAACCTTTAGAGGGAATCTAGTCCGCTGTTTAATTTTTTCGCTTTTGAGTGCGCGTACTACCTCCCTTGCGTTAATCGCGGCTCCAAATAGTTAAGCAAGAAAAAGCCTGAAAATACTGACCATGTAGCCATATCGACTACTTTGTCTTTATATTCGAGTTTTTTTTTTCCCGGCTTCTGTTCGGTGGGAGTATTATCGGTTTATGATTAAAATCCTTTTAAAGTGTCATTAGCGATCGCGTAAGTTGCAACCGCCGAAAATTCAGAATGGGAATGAAAATCATTCACCGTAGTTCGTAGCTCAGGCAATCTGCAGTATTATTCTTAGACATTTGCAAGTCCTTGCATTTCCATTCCCTCCTGAAATAATATCACTTACCTATACTGCGTCGTAAGGTTTTGACTGTTCCTTTTAGATTGGCGTTTTCAGACCTCAAACTCTTGCACTCTCTCTTGAGTCGATCGATATTTTCTTCCCTTAAAAAGTTGCAAACTTGCACTGCAACGCTGCTTTTATCGATTTTTTCAAAATAATATTCATGTTTTCTCTGTTTCTTTTTTGGCTGGTGGCTGGTTTTTACTAGAAAACTGGTTGCCGTGAGGTCTTTTACGAGCCATCAGGAGTTCTCGTCAGCGAGTCGGCCGGCAATTAATTACTGGGATACCTGTGGTAGCCCAATCATAAAATGCTTTTCACTGGGATACCTGTGGTAGCCCAGTCATAAAATGCCTTTGTTTTTTTTTCTTTTCCTCCGCCACAAAATGGAAAAATTGCGCAATAGTACCCAGCGGTCATTGGGCCCTCAACCCCATGACAACTAACTGTGATCCAATGAGGTGTTCACATGCTGATCATGCATGTTATCTTGATGATGATTGACGTTGTCATGCACAGACAGGAAAAGAGTTACTTTTTTGTAGGGTGGGTGGATTACTTGAAACATTGTGAGTGATGTCTACATTCTTACAAAAGGAGAGAAGAATATTAATGTGGGAAAGAACGAAAATGTCGAATTACCTCACACACAGGTATTTTGTGGTAGATCATGTGTATTTTGCGAATAAATGTAACCAAAAATAAACTGTATTGGTGCCACGGATACCTGTTAGTACAAAATGCAGACAGCAGATTGCAGAAATATGTATCGTTGTAAATCGACCATACTTCGTTCCCTGTACTATTCCTTATAACGTGCAGTTTTTCTCACAACTTAACACCGAGTCACACAACGCGTGACGCGTTCATTAATTAATCGTTAGCTTTTTCTCGAGACGTGAGCTTGGGCCACCAGTGACAAGACAATTGCGTAACAATATTTAACATAATAACATTATACACAAAAAAACACAGGGTTTTGGATCACGTATCTTTTAAAAAAGAATATCCATACAACTACAATGAAAACAAACATAAGATTCACCTTTCTGATCGTGAAATTAATACCATTCGTACTGTTATCGTAGCTACGTTCCTTGCCATCAAGTGAATCCAACATGTCGTCTTTCTTCACAAGCTGTTTGCATCCATTATAGTTATTTTCTTCAGTCTCGCGGTAGTAACGTTGTTCAATAGATTGCATAGAGTATATGCAGTTTGGTTTCAGATTTCAGATTTTGCTTTTTACAACAAGTGAACGTTTTTCAACTAAGATCTTGGCATACTTAGCATACAAGGTATGAAGCATTATGGCGCAAACGCGCAAAATACTTACAGACGCATGTATAAGTCGTATTAATCGCGGCTAATCCAGACTGAAAGATGTTATTGAGCGGTAATTTTGGAACGGATTGAGTCGCGAACGCTTAAAAGCCATGAAAGCCTTGAATGCCTTGTATGCTAAGTATGCCAATGTCTTAGTTGAAAAACGTTCACTTGTTGTAAAAAGCAAAATCTGAAATCTGAAACCAAACTGCATATACTCTATGCAATCTATTGAACAACACTACTACCGTGAGACTGAAGAACATAACTATAATGGATGCAAACTGCTTGTGAAGAAAGACGACATGTTGGATTCACTTGATGGCAAGGAACGTAGCTACGATAACGGTACGAATGGTATTAATTTCACGATCAGAAAGGTGAATCTTATGTTTGTTTTCATTGTAGTTGTATGGATATTCTTTTTTAATAAATACGTGATCCAAAACCCTGTGTTTTTTTGTGTATAATGTTATTATGTTAAATATTGTTTACGCAATTGTCTTGTCACAGGCAGCCCAAGGTCACGTCTCGAGAAAAAGCCAACGATTAATTCATGAACGCGTCACGCGTTGTGTGACTCGTTGTTAAGTTACTAGAGGAACTGCACGTTATATGGAATAGTATAGGGAATGAAGTATGGTCGATTTACAACGATACATATTTCGAAATATGAACATTTTTCTCGTAAAATCAATAAAACTTACTCATACCCTGTGTATCCGTTGTATTTTCTGGCGATTTCTGCCGTTTTAAGCTTGCTTTACCATAACTGTTATTCACGTCATCTACTTTTATTAGTGCAAATAATCGTGAAGGCGGATCGCAGAAAAGCGATTGCGTGACGCTCGGTAAGCTGTAAGATGACATGTTATTATATACCAGACGTAAAAACTCGTCAGTCTTAGTCTGCATTTGTACTAACAGGTATCCGTGGCACCAATACAGTTTATTTTTGGTTACATTTATTTGCAAAACACACATAATCTACCACAAAATACCTGTGAGTGAGGTAATTCGACATTTTCGTTCTTTCCCACATTAATATTCTTCTCTCCTTTTGTAAGAATGTAGACATCACTCACAATGTTTCAAGTAATCCACCCACCCTACAAAAAAGTAACTCTTGCATGCATAGCATGCCTATGTTTTGGAATAGGTGTATGCCCTTGACCAGACTTGTGCGCACTATTTCAGTATACTAGCCCGACACCCGTAGTATCACTACACTTGATTCCAAGGATCCAGTACCATCCAGGTATCCCAGTTACCCTGCTCACAGGGTCTAGTTAAC